GGCGGGGTTTCGGTTAGAGGATGCCGGGCAGTGCCGGGTGAGGTCCCGGCGCAAGTTAGAAGGGAGCGCTATATTTAGTGGTTAAATCAGCACTTTGCGTGTGCTCTTCTGAAGACCGAGCTTGAAGGGTGGCGGGAGGGTAAGCGGGGAAGGCAGTGCGTTTCCAGGTCTCCGAAGGGTTTTCTCAGTTACTTTCAAGCAGTGACGACGGACTGAAATGTCCGTCCTTTATCACAGAAAATACTAGTTTTGCCCACTGTTCACAGAGGAATTGACTAAAAGCGGCCGTGGTCTCCCCTGCGCTGATCATGTGTTGCCTTGCTTTGGGAAGGGGTGGGCACCCGCAGCGCTCCGGGCACCCTGGTGTCAGTCGTTTGGGTTCGCTGTGCTCAGTTGAAATGGCAGCCAGTGGCAGCAAGATGTGTTAGAGGTTTTTGTAATCTCAGCTTGTCTACAGATAGTGCTTTTTCCAGAATAAAAAGACCTGCTTTGTACATTGGGCAGACACGTATTCAGAGTGTTGACGTGTAAAGACTGTGGGAAACTTTGTATGTGCGGAGCGCCTCGGGAGTCCTGAGGCAGGGGTCTGGGAGGGCTGGGCTAGATACCTGATAGCTGACTCCAGCCAAAAATTGCTTCATGTTAGGAAGCTGAGGTGAAAGCCAGGCCTTCAAACCCAGTGGGAAGTTTGCTGGGGAAGTAAATAACATGAGCGATTTGCCCAGACTCTCACTTTTGGGACTCTGGCTAGTTATGGTTTCGTATTGTGCTCGTCACCATGGTATCTGAATACCTTTCAACAGGCACTGAGTGCTCAGCTCCTCCAGGAGTGATATCATTTATTTATGTACATTAATTTGGAGGCCTGACGTTAAGCATAAAAGCTGTGGTCCAAATTTGCAGTGCGTTTTATCTCCCAATGCCTACAGCAGGCCTTCTGCCTCTTGCACTCTAGGGGCTTTCAGCGCCTAATTTAACAACAAATTTACCTCATTTTTCAAACCAGATTTTCCAATCACCTTTAAAATTGCATGCATTTTTGCTGAGCTTTTTAAACAGTTCCAGCCATAATGCTACATTATAGATTGACTTCTTCCCACTTTCCCACATGTTTCTGCTCAGCATATGTTGGCACAATTACAGAGACCAATATGTCCTCCGTTTAAGTTATATTTCAACTGTTTAACTGTTGTTGTTTTTTTCTTAATATTCCCAGTTCAAGCAAGGACAAAGGCAGGTGTGGATGCTGACACCACGCAAACATTTTGGTCTGCAAAAGCGACAAGGAAGCCTCCTGGGCAATTAAAAAGGCAGCTCAAGCCTCAGGCAGGGAGTGTGAGACTTGCGCAGTTGCTGCTGACTGTGTCAGGCATCACTGCACACCTGTGTTCGTTGGCCCCCTTTCTTACTCTGTGACACAGCAGGCAGTGGGTGTCAGCGGTGCTCTGCATCGCTCCACAACCTGGGCCGCACGCAGCTGCTCATGAGTTCGGGGGAACTGCTGCAATGAGGTCTCTTCACCTCGCCAAACCTCTTCCCTCCTCACCCCTTCTAGAGCCTTGCTGTCTCCTGATTTTGACAGCTTTATCCGTCTGTCTGCTTCAAAGGGCTGATCTTACTGCCCATGCCTTTTGACGATATTGTTTTTATTGCTGATTTTTACAGAAAACACATGGATCCTGACAGAAAGCACTAAAAACAGTAATATATGATATCCATATCATTTCAACACCCTACGTGAGGCATCTTGCACCTTGCTCCATGTGCTTATCAGAAAGGGGATCCTCTGCTCCTTAAGTCTTCCTTTTTCTTCTGCTTACCTTGCTATAAACTCCTTTTTGCTCTTTGTTGATCTATGGCTACCAGCCTTGACCCTCATGAGTTCGTTACCCTCATTTTTTTCCTCTGACTGCAACCTTTGTATATATTAAGGGCCTCATTCTCCTATTCTTCATACCCAGTGTACATGTAGTGCAAACTTCACTGGTGTTTTCCCGTAAGTTGTATAGTGTAAGTGAGGGAGAATCAAATATTTTATACTTGAACTGATAACATTTGCCAACCAAAATACTTGTCATTTATTGTGCTGCTAGTACATTGTAACCCTATTATTTGATGTCATTTCTTACAAGTGCACTTGCATTTAAATTGCTTTACATACATGTAACTACATATACATAAACACAAAACAGTATTTTTAGTTGGTTTGCAGAGTCATGTTTTGAGTTTATATTTGAAGAACATCTCTTTCTGCTCCCCTTGGCTACTGTTTCATCTCGAAACATTGGCTTAGCCAAGCTGTATTGTTTTCTTTGTGATGCCTTGGATGTCATCACACTTTGCAGAATAAAAAGGATACTAAATTGATATGAAACAGAGAGAGAGAGGCAAAATGTAGACAAGGGAAACAAAAAAATGTTGAAACTGATACCTGAAAACTCAAGTACTTTGAAACTAGAGACGTGTGAGGAGGTCTCTTCTATTGAAAATAAATATGCAGAAAAAAGTAAGCAAAGCTACCGCAAGAGATATGCGAGGAATGTGATAGACAAGAGAGAGCAAGATCTACAAAAAAAAAAAAAAAAAAAGAAACAAGTCTGTTGAAACTTTGTAAAATCAATTAATAGTACATTGATTTTTAGGCCAGGAAGGACCACTTTCTTCTTCTGCTCTGACCTCTGATTAGGTGAACCAACTTTTAAATCAAACATATGACAGATACCTATTGCTTAATGTATTATTAAAGTCACTTTGGTGTTACAGCAACAGGAGTTGACTAAAATCATGCAACGAACAGACTATAAAATGTTAAGATTAGACTTACCTTTTAATTAAATCAAATCTTGGTTTTAAAGGTATAAGAACAAACCATAATCGTCCCTCTCTTTCTTTTCTTACCAGGTGTCCAGCCAGATTCTTTAACACTTTTTCTTTCTCTAGCCCTGCCTTCTAAGACCTGAGATTTCCAGATGAAACCTTTTTATGATTTGCTTCTGTAAAACCAGTCACCAATGTCAGATGAGAGAAGCTAGATGGTGGCTGGCAAACTTATTTATAATTTTGATACTTCACTTCAGATTCAAGCCAGCCCCTTTTGTGAAACATTCGCCAAGATTTTAAGTACTTTGCCAGTTTGGCATTTTACATCAGTCGAAACAGGTGATGTCCAGATTTGCCTTAAGTATTACCTGTCAGACTAAACTATACTTTCTCTTTGATCAAATTTTTAGCTATAAGATACATATATATGTGTATTTTCCTCTGAAACTGTGACTGATTGGAATTGTACTGAATCAAATTGCAGACTTTCAAGTTCTGTGAATGTCAGCTCTTTTCGAGGACCCCATTTTGCATTTGAATCCACCTTGGAGGTTGATCTCTGTATTATATCTCATCCTCCGCTATGCATGAGAATGTGCATTTTCTGAGGGAGGTTTGTTGCATGGCTGAATATTATTACGTTGGGCTGGCCGCCTTGTAAAGGGCCCTATCTGTCTATTCGCTGTCGCTAGCCTGACTACAGCAATAGTCAGCTCTCCTCAGAAAAGATGGACTGAAGAGGGAAGCTATGGAAATCCTTAATCTTTGCTAAATAATCACATTCCCAAAAGCATCACAGACAGGTTATGGTGGAGAGACTTAAAATTGCTGAATAATAAAAAACCATATTGGAGAGAAGAGGTGGAAGGGACTATATAACTCAAGGGTGCTGATGAAGTTCAGAATTTTATAGGAGCGAAAAAGACTACTAATATCTTTCAAGGGACTCTGACTCCCTAGTACTATTTGTAAACGAAGTCCTGCAAAGTGGCTTCACGATGTGACGTGAGACATGGTAAGTAGATGGTAGTGATCATGGTAGTGATCCCTTGCGTCCTTCTGATCTGAACACCAGTGCTCGTGTAGAGGTACCAGCACAGGGTTGGATGGAAAGAGGGTGCCAAAGCAAAGTGAGGGATGTTGCAGTTGGAAGCAAGAATTAAGAGCTCCCTGAATCTCAGGCCTTTATAATATGAAGGATCAGGCAGATGGATTTATTGCCAATGGACTCAAGTTCATTGAGGGAGGCTGAGTGGGTGAAACTGCCTCAACTTCTTGTTGTCGTGAGCCTCCTTTCACCCTGTAGGACACCCACAGGCAACGGGGTGAAGTTCAGCCTTGCTGTCACCTTTAACTAATGCATTTCATCATACCTGTCTGTGCACTTTCCTCTGTGCCCACAGACATGCATATTATAAGATATGTATATGAGTAATTCTCTTGATCTTCCTCCGGCTTGTTTAACATTTCGGCCACGTGTGTCCTGGCCTTTGTGGCTTACACCCTAATAAAACAGGATTTTATGGCAGTTTAAAAGTCTTTGAGGCTTCTTGGCAGAGCTCAGTATGGGTCAAGATCGAGGCGCATCCGTCTCAGCGTTTTAGCTGAGTCACGATGGCTTTCGTTCCCTGGAAAGCCGGCAGCGCTCCCGGAGCACGCTGCCGCGCCCCACCATGACTCAGCATGTGCAGATGCTGGAGCTTGCGAGCTTGCTAAACATGGCCTTAGTGTCCAGGCACAGCTGTCCCTGGGCTGGATGTTCAGCAGCAGCTGACTTGGAGCTGCGTTTCCTGAACGGCAGCTCTCCCAGCGAGAGCTGGCGTTCCTTCGTGGTGAGGGTCGTTCTGCAGAACGACTGAAAAGCAAAAAGCCAGTCTGTCTTCCTTTGCTCTTCCCGGGTTCTTGGTAATGTTTCTGTGCCAATTACAGTACCTAGAAAGGGACAACATCAGGCAGCCTCGCCGCAAGTACTCCTTTGGGAAGCAAGGAGCGCGTTTTCCTCGGCTCGCCCTAGGAAGCCTGTCACACCTCTCTTCCCCTGCAAAGCTGTCAAGTGAGTAGCCACACAGGATTAGAAACGTGGTTGAGATGCAGAGCTTCCCCTTTTTCGTTGGGAGAAAGGCATGGAGAAGCCGGTGTGTCAGTGAGAAATGTAAGAGGTGGTGCTTCACGGTGCACTGCAATGTATTGTAGCAGTCCTAAAGAGATGAGTACCAAATGAAGAGGAGGAAGGTAACAATCCTCGTTTATGTTTTAACAGAGCTGCTTTCTTATGGGAGCTTAAAGAGGCTTCTGGGCCTCTTTTCAAAAATTAGTGTAGGAGGCAATCAAGGCACATAACAGTTCAGTGCTTTAGTTGAGTCATGGTGCTGTCCCACCCCGGGCACGGGAACCCGGCAGCTCTCCCGGGGCACCCTGCGGCACTGATACACGAGCCGCAGTGCGTGGGTGCAGGCGGTGATTTGCCTGCAGGAGCAGTGAGCATGGCAGTGGTGCTCAAAGCATATCTGTGACCCACCCCACCCTTGCTGGATGTTGGCCAGCAAGTAATGTTGAGCCTGTTGTCTTGCAGAGTGGCTTCTGTAGGAATGGCTTGGGCTGCCGGTGACTCAGAGCCGCCGTGCTCTGTCTGTCCATTTAGAAACAAGGAATAGCTTTTGCTAAACCAACAACACGAAGGCTGCTGCAATGCCTTCTGGGGTAGAGCGGAGAAGCGTGCAGCCACTCAGGCTTGGAGCGAGGGGATAGGAAAAGTGTGGATGTTGCGGATGTCATTGCTGTGAAGGAAGAGAAGGGCGTGGGGAGGCAGTCAGTTGAGGCTTTGTGCCCCCTGCGACACGGCGCTGGCTGGGGAGCGTGAGGGAGCGTGTTGCTATTAAGAGCTGCCTGGATCCCAGGCATTTGAAACAGAAAGGGTCTGGTAGATGGATCTGCTTGTGTTCATGGAGAGGGGCTGAGTGGGTGAGGCTGCCTCAGCTTCGCGTTGCCATGAGCCTCCTTTCACCCCAGCCAACAGGGCAAAGTCCAGCCTTACTATTGTCTTTAATGCATTTTATCATTCCTGTCTGGGCACTTTCTTCTTAAGTCTGCGCCCACAGATATGGGTATTATAAGATAAGTATATGAGTAATGCTCCCTCTCTTCCTCCTGCTTGTTTAACATTTCAGCCAGTTGTGTCCTGGCCTAGGAGTGGCCTCGCTGGCACTAGCACAGCAGAAGAGCAGCTGTGGATATCAGGGTGGACGTCCGCTTCAGCTGCACCCCAGCCGTGCTTCCTGCTTGGGAGCTGTAACGAGCTTCCCCCCTGCTCGTTAGGCGCTTCCCTTGAGCAGCTCCAGGGAGCGACCTGGGAGGTGCTGGGGGGGGGGGGGGGAGGAGGTGTCAGGAGGGTCTCTAGGGCCAGCAATAACTAATGAATGGTTCTTTTTACCCTCTCCCCATGTAAGGTGCCATCTCTTGTTTCTGCTGTGTGTTCAGAGAGAGCTGGAGGATGTCAGCCCTTGACCGTGGTGGAAATGGGAATGTATTTCTTTGTGTGATCTGAGGTATCTGTTGTGATGCTTTATGAAGAGAGTGAATCGTATGGAGGTGCGTGGAGCTGATCTGTCCCTGGTGGTGGTTTGATGCCTGA